CATCTTCGTGCCCTCCTCTAGACTCAGGCCAACAGGTCCATGGCCTTCTTATGTTAGGGGCCCCAGAGCAGAACGCAGTACTGCAGCTGAGGTCTCAGCAGAGTGGAGTAGAGGGGGTAGAATAACTTCTCTGGATACAGCCCAGGATACGGTTGGCTTTCTGGGCTGCCAGCGCACACTGCCAGCTCACATCCAGCTTTTCATCCACCAGTACCCTCCAGTTCTCCTCCCCAGGGCTGATCTCGATCCATTCTCCGCCCAGCCTGTGCTTGTGCTTGGGATTGCCCCAACATGTGTGCCACCCTCTGGATGGCATCCCTTCCCTCCAGCGTGTCGACCGTGCGACACAGGTTGGTGTCATCGGCAAACTGCTGAGGGGGCACTCAATCCCACCATCCACGTTGCCAACAAAGATGACTCTTGAGGTATGCCAGTCATCACTGGTATAATAGCTTGGAGCTTTTCTTTTCATGCCACTTCCTCCAACTCCTGGGATGGCATGTGTCTTTATCAACATTTAATTTTTTGTTGCTCACCTTCATCTTATCAAATCTTAAGTTTGTTCCTCCTAGTGATTGTGGAAGGAAAGTCAGAAAGTAATTAAAATGAAGAGACCGAAACAGTTTAACCAAAATATCCCCAAAAGTAAAATTCATGGTGGTTAAACTGAACATTGTGGATTCCCAGCTCTGCAGGATTATTTATTTTATTAACACTTCTAAACTAGTTTCCATTTTGCAGTGATAATAAAGGGTAACAGTACACAAGACTCCTATGTAAAGAGTGCCTATGCTGTAGCTGACCTAAAACTGAGGACTGGTCTATTATATGCACGTACGGTTGGCACTAGTTCCTCTATTGCAATAGCTTCCATTATTTGGAAGATTCAGCAGAATGAAATGGCTTAAGCTTTAATATATAATTTTAACATACTAGTTCACTTTTAAATAGTTCACTAAAAATTGCTTCCTCTAGTAGTCAAGGTCTCTTATCTGATACCTGCTTCCTTCCCCTCTGTGGATGCTTCCTGTTTTCCATGTCAGTCCCCACATCCCCCCATGTATTTCCATGTGCCTTTTCCTGTTGTCATATGTTCTGCTGCAGCTGCTCGTCAGACACCTCTCCACCAGGCAAAGGCTCCAAAGCTGAGCTGGCTCCTGCACAGTGCCATGCAAAACCACTTCGTGGGTGCCTACCCTTGTCCCTTGAGCAAGGAGGCAGCGGCACTTACACCTCCGGGCACGCTACGGTGAAGTAGCCTGCGTATCATTAACGATGCCCGTCCCACTTTCGAGCCCCTCTTGTGTCTTTGCCTTGTCCCTGCGCTTTTTGTACGGTGCAAGTGGTGCAAAACCAACAGGAAAGTGAGATAAGTCAGGTCCGTGATGGTACGTAGTTAAATCATGTATGTGCTTTCACGTGTGATTCAGTTACCCTCTCCCTCATGGCTATTTCTATGGAAGTAAAATGTGGAATAATAATTGGAAGAAAACTGTTTAGGAAGAATCCTACCTATTACATGTGGAATTGGATCTTCAGGGTTTCATAGGGTTTGTCTGTAAAACAGAAAGCCAGAGAGACTGTACAGGACTGTCAAACGCATCTTAGTTCATGAGTGTGTTTAGTTCAACCCTCCTTTGTACTGTTTTATGAGAGAAATATGACTGTATTTATTTTAGTTATCTATGTTCCAACCACAGCATAGCTGAGCTGGAGTATTACAAAATACTTTTTTAAAAGCTGGAAGTGCACGTGAGACATGATTATGTGGCCCGTGTTTTCTTACAAATTTTTTATTGAGGAACACGTTTTGTTTATCTTCCTTGTTTCTTCTCCTACTGCAGGGGACGGATGTGGGCACACAGTGATGTATCAAGACAGCGGGACCCTGGCATCCAAGAACTATCCCGGGACGTACCCAAATTACACCCTTTGTGAAAAGAAAATCCAAGTGCCTCTGGGAAAACGCCTGATCTTAAAAATTGGGGACCTGGATATCGAATCACAGAAGTGCGAGTCCAGCTACCTTACCATCCAGAGCTCTTCAACAGTGCACGGTATGTAAAAGATAAGGCAACGGCAATGGCCGTCTGGTGAAAGTGTGACTAAAACCCAGCCCTGCAAAATGCAAAAAGCCATTAGACTGTATCCTCTCCTCCCCCTTTTCATATTCCAGTGTGTCATTCTCAGTGTGGGAGGCCGTTGCCGCACAAGCCATGGGTAGTTCTGCCCAGGCCGGGGGTGTTGTCATGCTGCATTGCGCAGGGGCCACAGGGGCTTGTGCCTGGCTCTGGCACATCCACCCCGAGGGTTCTGCCCTCAGACCTGAGGAGCTGTGCTGTCACAGCTTTAGTGCAGCGAGTACTCGCATCTGTATCAGCCCTGTACCCTTCTCGGGTAGGGGAAGAGCTAGCTCACTAATGAGAAATTGGAATTAGCAGTCCTGCATGTCTGTATTTCCTAGGCAGTTCAGGCCTGGGAGAGGAGATAACCTTTATTATTGCTAGTTATTAGCCACTGATAAACTTTGCTAATGTACAGGCTTTAATACTTGCAGATATTAAATGCGTGCAGTCTGCACTCCTGCAAGAGATTTGCACAGGAGGATAAGTGAGTAAATATACTATAGTTGCGCACTTAAAACACCATAATGACAACAGGATCCTCCCTAGGGAGAACCTGAGGCCTTCCACAAATTTGTTTTCCCAACCTGTTGTTAATGAAACTTTGATCTGCTCTTTCTAGAAGAATCAACCTGATTTTCAAGTCAGTGAGCCCTTTTTCAGAAGTCAGATTTAAATCCAGGCAGAGGCACGGGGCTGCAAGGAGTTCCACAGTGCAGAAATAAACATCCGAATTGCCAGTTCGTAAAATTTTGCCCGCTGGGAGTGGGCTGTAGCCCTTCAGTCAGCTGAGGCTGAATGTGCTGCACAGGATTTTGCAGACGGAATAGATTCAGTGGGAAAGGGCGTTGAAGAGATGAGCCACAGAGAGCCTCTGCAGGTTTTCCAGGTCACCCAGCTCATCGCTTGGCTCAGCGTGTGCTTCTCCTAAGCTCGGGACTCATAAGATACATCTGTAGTAAGGAGGGATGATTGCCTTTCATTCATGAGCATGATAGGCCGATCACTCATCTGGTGAGATAAGATCATGGGAGGTATTAAAGCCTTGCTTGCAAACGAAGGTAAAGGTAGTATTACTCTCATGAGGGAGGTATTACATTTTGAAACAGCCTTCTCCAAGAGTGGGCAGTGGCATGCCGGTATCTAAGCTTTGCGCAGAGCTTGATTTGAGGCCTAAGGAATATTTCTGTTCGTGTGTGCTGAGATTTTTCTATGTTGTTTACCTTATTTCAGAACTGTGAGTAATGAGTTGTGTTCACCTGAAGCGGTCTGTGCTTGGCAGTAAGAGATAGGTGGTTAGGATTGCATTATCATATCTTTGACTAAGTTTTATTGATGCTATCTTGAAGTTTCTAATCAAAGGCTTTTCTAGGAAGCAAGGATAAATCAATATTTTCTTTTCTGAAGTGAAAAATGAAGCTTGGATGTTGATTGAAATCTGGTTCCTTACACATTAGCCTCAAGACATCTTCACACAGTTCAGTCCTGCAGCTATTCAGCCTTTAAACGCAGAGTACCTACATGTTATGCAACCAAACGCATATAATGGATTTCTTTAAAGTATTCCCACGCCCATTTTCAGACCTGATTGGTAATGTCTGATGCATGTGGACTATAATTTGCATTCTCAGTAACGAACTGCACAATTAGCAGATTTTGCTCATATCTGATTAAACAAGTTTTGTAGCTTAGGCATACACGCCATCTGTAATGGATTTTGTGGTCTGCAGCTCACTGTAGGCTTTCCCAGTAGCATATCTACTGAGTCTGTGCTCTACAGTCAGGTAAGTCTGTGTAGAACAGCAGTGTGGAAATCATCCTGTATGCATTAATTCACGCTATCACTTGTGTTTTAAGACATGGGAATTCATAGATGAGATTATAGCTTCTCCAAGTTACTTGTTTCAATAGGTTGGCTATAGCTCTGGGTTTTAATGTACCTTTATGTAAGCAAAAGAAGCTCTGTGAGAAAGCACTGCTAAGTCCATTCAGTCTGTTGTGTCCTTTTAAGCAGCTGATTGTGAGCCCAGATCTCCTATTCACAACCCTCCCTTCTTTATGAACATCTACGGGCAGGTCAATATCTTCCCTTTGGCCAAGAAGATACTGACCTTTGCCATCAAAATTCTTTCACAGGATAATAGAGAGTTGAAAAGATTTTGCAGGTGTTGACAACACCTGAGCAATTAAAAACTGATCTTTGCATGTTTTCTGTCTTTGACTTGGGTTTAAAAGGAAAACCTAAAAATCTAAGTATGAAAGCTGGCAGTATGAGGATTATTCATGTTTCGAATTAGTTGAGCAGCCTTTGCTCTCTATTTAAGAGGTTTGCAATTATAAGACAATAAGGTCCAAAGGAAAATATGTTTTCAATACCATGCTGATCTCTTCAACTCCACCGAAAACAAGAGAGTGAATGTCAGTGTGCGAACAAACGTCTGTTGAGGAGTGTATGTGAAAATTATCAGGGGCAAAACCTATATTATGCACGTAAATATGAAATTAGTGTAAACAGCTCTTCAGATGACAAAGTATTGTTTTCCTTCCAGATTCGTCCCACATGTTATCTTCACATATAACTGTGATTCATTCATTGTTATAACCTTCTGCTGGGATTCATGCAATGCAGCCAAGAGTAACTCGATTCATGTTTGGATATTTAACAGCTTCCCTTTACTGCATGGAACATATATACAAATGAATAGTTACCCTGTTCATTGGAGGCAAGATGCTGTAGCAAGTCTTTTCTTTCAAACTTGGTATCCAGATTTAGATGTGAAAATATTAGTTATCAGTCAGCAAAGGTAGTCTAACACCAGTTTTGGTGAAACTGAGTCACCTCTGTCTGACAAACCTTTAAATACTAACACAGGTTTGCATGTCTTGTCACTAGAAGAAATAAATAGATGATAATGTCCTCTGTCAAAGGAATAGCTTTGCGCTGGATGAAAATATGAGCATTTTTTGTCCCACAAGAAGAATCTGGAATAAAAATTAATATGAAGCATGATCTCACAGTGTAGACAAGGTGCAAGGTTTACTGAAATGTTTTTGTTCTCAAGTTAATTGCATTATCTGAGCATATTAAAAATACTGAGCTCTGAATAAGAGCTTCTGATTTTTTAATTAGTTAAAGGGATAGGTGAAAACAAGATTAACCATGTGGTCCCTGTAGTTCTCAAGAACACAACTTGCACTGCTTATGAACGTGTAACATAAATTGTTTTAAAAGTTCAATAGGAACTGCTCTTAGTCAGCTTCTTTTTATGTCTTTATCAGATTCTTGTACATCTCTTCACCCTTTTTTCTTGCTTTTTCCCTAACTAATGGCTTAGTATTTTCTCCTTAATTTTGTGAGATGATCATCAATCTTAACTGGAGAGATAGATTAAAGAAGAGATAAGTGCCTACTTACTTCCCCATTCACTTGGAGTCAGTAGGAGGTTGACGTGTTCCTCTGGGGTGGATGTCAGATCTGCTGAGTGACTAGTAATAATTTGGAGAGTTAGTGCAGTTAACTTGTTCTTGCATAATTTACAGCTGGTAACTAGCATGAAATAGATAAATTACTGAAAATGCTTTCTCCTCCCCGCACCCAGTCACTAAGGGCAAACTGAGTGTTTACTGCTGTGCAAGTGTCTGATGGCTGCTCAGAGTGAGTGTACACACACGTGTGTGTGCGCAGGAGAGCCAAGCGCCTTCGGATGTTTCCTACCTGTCACTGTGACTTGAGGGGATTCATCAAACCAGTCTGCCCTTATTGTGTATTGTAGTAAATATCTTGCTTGAATAAAGGGTGTGTCCAGGTTTCTTGTTCACCTCTCAAAGGAAACTTGTTATTACAGTAATTTTTTCTGGTATTTCAGGAAATCCAGTGAAATGCCCAGACAAGTTCTCGCTGGAGATCAAGTCGAGCAGTTTCTTAACAGTCAGATCTCTTCTAACAGTTGGGTTTCGCCTGAGTGACTTGCAGTATCCTGAGGTTTCAGCTTTGGAAAGATTTATGCAACAAAGAATGTCTGCTTTTCTTTTATCAAATGAACCCTTTTTTCTCTCTTAGGTGCATAAGGTGTATTGTGTATTTTTCTGTGTTTTTTTGTTAGGCAGCTACAGCTTTTTACTAACAATTCCTAACTGTTGCTGTGCTTCTGTCTTTGGGTTTGGCTAAAACCACAGGCATGTTAGAAGTGGGGCAGCTCACCTGAGGTCAAGCAGGCAGACCTGCAGGTGGCCCAGACCCACCTCTTTTAAACTGTAATTACTTCTGCAGCTTGACTCTACTTGGATGCCTTTTTCTTTCCTTTATGCGTCTTTGGCAACCCTTGGGAAACGCTAACTGAAAGTTTTACTTGTTTTTCCTAAAACAAGAATTGCTTACCACTCAGTCTGAGGTCAGACTGTTGTTGCACAGCGTTAAATGTTGAACAACTGGGCTGTCTCATCCTTACTAACAAATGTGACTACTCTGTCAACTCATATCTACTGCGTATTAAACACCACCTTCCATTCCTGCAAAGAAGGGCATAGAGCAGCACTTTTTGTCTCCTCCTGGCACATCCTTGCAGGGTGACGTTGGTTATCCCTGAGTGTTCTTGGCAGGGTTGGAGCCAAGAAGAGGCTTCTCCCCTCTCCTCTCCTTCTTGGTAGGGGGAGAGGAAGAGTTACTGCTTGTGAGAGTGAAGCATTTGTGTGAACGTGGGATGGAGATGAATGTCAAGAATGCAGATGTTTTCATACAACAGATCCTTGCTGGTTTTGTGAGCTGTTTGTGAAAGACTTGCACTCCAGCCGAGTTTTTAGCTGAAGTGAAACAAGCCTAATCCATGTTCATCATATCCTGTGTCCTTCCCCAGCTACTGAGGTACTTCCAAATTGCTTTATTTGAGAAAAGGCTGCTGAATATAAGGATCACAATTTTGCGATCACATTGTTTTCCCCAAACAAACTCCTTAGGAAATGATAATCCTGGAGAGGCAGATCCATGGGATCGTTGCTACACGTTGCTCACCAGCCATGCCTGACTGCAAGACTAATGCTAAAGAAAAGGGAGAAGATTCCATGTTGGAGAGGGGATGTTATGAGTTGGTATCTAAAACACGTTTCTTTTAAGACCTCTGCAGATGTCAAACTCCAGATTTCAAATGAAGTTGAGGAATTTGAAAGTAGAATGAACGGGACATGCAATAGCTAACGAAGGACAGGAATGCTTTTAAAAGGAAGCAAAAGTCTTACAGAAGAGGAAGAAAGTGTTAAGAACTACAGAACCAAGCAGCATGTAGGCATTGCCAGCTGGTGTACAGAAAAGAGTCCTCTAGGCACAGCGCTTCTTAGGGGAAGAGAAAAAATACAGGAGCATAATTCAACAAAGCAATTTCAGGAAATATGCCAGAGACTGGTTGACAGTAGAAGTAAACTAGACTTTATAAAACCTGACAATGTCGTAAAGATCATCAGATTTGCAAAACAACACTATTATGAAAAAGACAAAAGCAGCAGACTATTGCTAACATTTAAAAAATAAACAACGTGTAAAATAATCTCTTCAGTCTCCAGACAAGCCAGCCAAAGGATATCCATGAGACAATTTACCATGTATCTTGCAGGATGTTAATACTGCTTGGAGACAGTGATTCCAAAATGAAAGTATTTCATTTAAGCCACTTAAACCATACCAACAGAGCAGGAGTTCTGGATGAAAGGCATTAAATGTTAGTTCACTTATAGAGGAATGTTAAATTAGATACATTCAAATATGCCCAGAATAGTGGTCCTGTGGAATTTAAAATGCATAAATATATATATATTAAAAAAAAAAAATCTGGAGGGAACAGACAGAACCACAGTTGGGTCAGCTCGTTAATGAGACATGGAAAGAAGAAAAGGCCTTGGCATCTTGATGTAGTAATAGTGAAATATGGAGAACACGTACTCAGTTTCATGAAATGTAACACATCTGTTTACTAAATCAAACCCTTTCCTTTGTTCTTAGTAAACAAACCAAATAATCCTGCCTAGCAGAGCTCCAGCCCAGTCACTTTAACAGGAAACAGGGAGAGAGATCAGCATTCATGACTCGTTTCTCTAGCCGAATATGCAAAACAACCCACCGCACAACTAACATTAGAAGATGAAAAACTGATAATGTAATCTGGCAGTTCTCAAAAGGGATCTTAAAAAACTTTTGGCTTAGCCCCAGGTTTAGGAATTAATTATTTATCCAGAGTCAAGTCCAAATACTGCAGCAAAAGTTAACAGGGCCCTATAAACAAGTTTCTCCCTTTCTTAGCAGACACAAACCACGGCTTTCTCCATCATCCTTCCTCTCCACTGTGGTTGTACAATATTCATATAGGTGGCCTGGAGAAATCAATAAACCCTAGGTGGAATGGACAGAGGAGACAGGGAGCATGTATGAGTTTTAAAAGTAGAGGATAATATAGTATTTTTGTCACCTCAATTGCAAGTGGAAAATACTAGTAAATATAGTTTTCTGGCAGAGTCTAATGTCTATAGATGCTGCTTGGTTTTAATCTTCTAATGGCTATAAAATCTCACAATATATGTGTTCAAGGTAACAGATAAGTCAGTGGAGAGCAAGTCTGCTGGGTGTTATTGTGTATATAAAATTGCACCTAATTCAGGTATACCACAAGCTGGAAGGCAGGGACCCTGGGAGACTCTCCTTTCGCTTCTGACTTTACAACATTAAGGTGAATAGAGGCCTGTCGTATGGAAATGTACAGGAAAGAGTACATGTGGTTAAAAACAAATACATTATTTTTCTAAAGAAAATTAGAAAACAGATGAAAGCATAAAATTCTTTCATCAGTCAAAACTAGAACCCAATGAAGTGTCTTGACCCTGAATCAGTTTTATTTTCTAAGTATTACCTGTTGTCCCCCTGGGGAATTTCTTGGAAGACCATCAGTGTAAAATAAATTGATTTTGGGGAAAATGAGAATCTGAGGTTAAAAAGGCCACTCTGCAAAAAAACTTGGCAAAACAAAGAGAGATGCTGCTAAACATAATAGAATATTATTGGGTAAAACAAATCAGAAAGGTGCTTATACTGGTCATTTTAAAGACAATAAGCAGTGAAGAGAGTGGAATAACCCCTCTTCCTGAGAACAGACTGCATGTGTCTCTGCTTGTTTCAGGGAGTAAAGAACCTCTAAGCCAAAACAGTATCTGATAGGTTTGTGTAAGACCAGCAATAGAGGGGTGAGATAAGGCTTATACTGTCTTCTAAAACCTACCTCTCCCAGCTCATTTCTGTATTTGATAGCATGGAAATAAATTCTGCTAGATCTCAGGCAAGTCTGAAGACCTGGCAGTGTAGGGCTGATGTGATATTACCTGAATTATTGAGAAGACTGAAAATGTTGAAATATTTTTGCAAGGCTTCCTCGGTTTGCAACAAAAGAAGTATTTTTTTTCCTAAATCTATCCAGAAAACTGATAAACTGTCGGAAAACATTCATTCTTCCAGTGGATACTGTTTCTTGCTTCTGTATCCTTTAAGAAACTAGTCTTAGGCCCCCTTAGTTTTGGGGACTCCTGTGAGAGTCCCCATTTCTCACGACATGTGTGATTTGTCTGTGTAATTCCCTGGAACATATGTAGACTTGCTGCTGGAGGAGACACATAGCCCTGATCCAGCCGGCGTGTGGTTGAGTGAATCAGCCACCTAAATTATACCTGCAGAGTAGGTAGGTCACTGCCAATCGCTGCGAGGGAGAAAGCCAAACAGCACTTGTGAGAAAATATGTAGAGACAGTCCCTGAGAGAAGAAAAGGACTCAAGCTTTTTTTTTGACTCAAGACTCAAGGTGTTTTATTTTGGTGAAATGCAATTCCTGCCTGTCGTCTTCCCCTTTCTCTCTCTTGGAAACAAAATAGAAAAAAAAATCTAAGTTAGCACTTTACTTCTCCCACTGCAATCTGACACAAAAGACCTTCTCAAATAAATCACTCGTGCAGTTGTCTGGTATGACACGGTGTCAGATGCTGTCTTTTTGATAAGTTCATTTCCTAAGCAATTTGTTTAACCCTTTTTATAGACATTGTTTTCTCTGACTAAGTCGTGAGTCATTTTCAACACTTGAGTACTCCAGGGAAATGTCACACTCCTCGCTCGTTTCTCCGCCTGCCTGGCTGTGCCGTATGATTTTTATAAGCCAAAGGACAGAGTTTGTCCTTTGGTTTGTCCTGCTGACAACTGGCTGTCATTGGCTCCAACTGGGCTGCTCTACAGGCTGACCTTATAGTTGGTATAAGGCTGGCAAAGTGGGGAAAGACACCCCTCCCTCCCACCCCCAGGAGTATCAAGCAAAACGAACAGGTTCTTAGGAGCCTGTTAGGAAGGGTACCACTCATCAAATTTGTGCTGTTACTGTAATTTCTTGTATCTCAGAAGTCAGTTCCAAGTTGCCCTAAATTAGCCACCACCAATAAAATGAGGTTGTCTAGGAAAACTCAGTCATCCCTTATCCTCCCAAGGACTCGCTTTAGGATCCAAAAGCTTGTCATTCACCAGAACAGATGAGCTGAGGGCTTGTAAAGGGTTTTGTTTGTTTGTTCTCTTGGGGAAAAAAAACCCAAACCTGTCGTTTTACAAAAACCCCTTCTTAGCAATTTGTGTTGTAAGCAGTCTCATAAATTCAAGAAAGTGTACCCAAACAGCTTTAGATTTTCTGTGTCATCTGTGCCTGAGAGCAGCCAGGGACCAGTGTTCGCGCCCAGGTGTGGTGACAGAAGGCAAGAGCCAAGACTATGGCAATCCCAAAAGAAAATTCCCCTTGGGAACGGACTTCTGAGGAAGCAAACAGTATTATTAAGAGTCCCTGGCACCCCTGCTGTCACAAGAAAGCAATGTCCCAAAGACTGTTCCAAGATACTGCTGCTGGTAGCTATAAAACCTTTACCTAATCCAATGTAAGTGCAAGGTTCTTGTCTCCCTGTCCCATTCCCTTCATCTTCCCCTTTCTCTCCCTCTCTTTTTTGTTTAAAACTCTAGAGACTTGAACTGGATACTTCAGTGGTTTGATGATGTTTTTAAAAGGAAAATAAATCAAGACGTTTTCAGACTGAAGTGGCACTGCCTTGCGGTACGGTTTGGCTTGTGGCACACATGTCCTTGAAAACCAGGTGCCCTGTTTGCCATCTTAATCTTTCCTGAACGGCTGCTGTGCTGCAGCAGCATGAGCTGCCTGAGTCTGGAGAGTTTATCTAGGGGACCCTGTGCAGGTCTCTTGGATTGCCTTTGAATGTTCTGTTCTCTAATGAGTTACTGCTGGTTGTAAGCAGGCTGTACTTCAAAGGCTGAAGGGCATTAATCATTCTCTTAGGGCTTATGTGATGAGAGACGTGGATGCTGGAATTGCTACCACGGAAAGACAATTGGATCCCGGCCACTCCTTGTCAGGATAACTTTGGAGCTCATACCCATAAAGGACTGAAGCCAAAAGCCTTTTGTCAACATTTGGATTGGTATTGAAGGAGAATGAGTGTGCTATGAAACTGTTTGCTAATCATGAGAATATTCCAGCCTAATTAATTCATCTAAACTTTTGAAATCTTCTTTGTTCTGTCCGTAGGGCCTTACTGTGGTAATGTGATGCCCGTCCCCAAAGAAATCATTCTGGATAGCAATGAAGCGACTATTCACTTTGAGAGTGGATCCCACGTGTCAGGACGAGGTTTTCTGTTGTCCTATGCCAGTAGTGATCATCCAGGTAAAGTGAAATCTGAAAGTACTAAAGGATTAGTGGCACAGGCCCCCTCTATTTCACTATCTTCTCTACACACATATACTTAGCGCAAATGTTTGGCCCTAAATATTTCCAGATTAGCATGAACCGTGATATTTTTTAATAGCTTGTGTGGTAGAAGCTGTAGTAATATTAGCCAAATATAATAGCTGCTGAAGTCTTAACTGAACAATTTACAATACAGGCCCAGTGAAAGAGAATATGAGTACCTCCTCCTTGAAGCTTCACTGTGTTCTGGGCTCCAGCATCTACCACACAGTGATAGGATGAAGGGATAGGATAGATTAATATTTGATTCCTACATTTAACATTCTGGGCATCTGTGCAACTTTGTTGAAGGTGTAAAATGTAAGAAGAGTAGAAGAGGGAGATGAAGATAATGAGGGAAAACCATAGCTGTTGCTTTCTATCTAATAATGTTGTTTAAGTATTATACAGAGAGATCTTGAAATGTAATTTCATGTGTAGCCAAATATTTGTGTGTATTTCTACATCCTGCAAACGGGGATTGACATTTGTAAACTTTTCACAGATCTAATCACGTGTTTGGAACGAGCGAACCACTACGCAAAGGCTGAGTACAGGTAAAGCAGATTTGCAGCTCTCTGTGCTGGTGGCTTGCCTTGCTGTAGCTGTCACCTGGCCTGATTCTTAGAAAAAGTCACAGAAGGCGAGCACATCTTCAGTTTTCTGGAGAAGTGGGGTTTTTTGAGCTGTGATGCTGTAATACTCCAAGGCCTGGTTGTGAGAAGCAGAAATGCAGAATGGAAGTCTGCAGCCCAGAAGAATGAGGGAATAGTTACAGAGCAAGTCTCATTTGGGCTTACCTATACATGATATATGTAAAAACGAGTTTCCACTTTGAAATTCAAAGTAGCCTCAAATTCCAGTGCTTCTCCTGAAGCAGGTCACACCTAGCTGATACAAGATTATCTGAGGGAAAGCTATGATTTCTTGGTTCCTTGAACCTTGTGACAGGATTTGAAATGGTGATAAATTGTGCTCTTGTGGCTGCTGTCTGGATGTGCATGTAGACTTCTTATCTGGGCTGAGCTGAAAACCTGCGTGGTAGCATTTCTGGAACAAGAGAATTAAACAGAAATGCCCTTGCAAAATGGCTTTTCTGGTTCTCTGTGTGCTGCTGTGTGCAGTCCACCCTTGAAGTCATTGATTTACCTCCTAGGCTCACTAGCAGACCATCAGACAGAACTGTATGCTAAAATACTTGTTGGTTTGAGAGCATTTGTTTTGTACGAGCTTGTTTCTGTGTATCATAGCTACAGCTGGTGTTGTAAACACGCCTCTCCTCTCTCACTACAGCAGATACTGTCCTGCTGGCTGCAGAGACATAGCAGGTGACATTTCTGGGAATATCGGAGAAGGATACAGAGATGTAAGTCCACAGGATAATGGGGGGAGATTTATAAAGACAGAAGAGAGAAAAGCGTAGCACAACTTGGTTTCAGCTTTTGCTGCTTGACTTTTGTCAGTAGTTCTTCCCAGCTGTGTTTAGATATTCCTGTTATTATCAGTATGCGAATGTGCTATCAGTATATAAGCACATGGACACACTTTTCAAACAGACCAATCAATTGTGTGAGAACAAAGTCCACTGTTTGTCAAATACACCTACTGACCTGTGGTTTCTGGCTTTCTGGAAAAACCCTGCAAAGGGTTTGTCCCTGTTGGGGCAGTACTCATCTGTGTTCTAAACATTCCTACCACTTCAGCTTTTACTTGTTTGGAGCCCATGTGCATTTCTTTTCTAAAGTTATCTCTTGTAGGAAAAAAAATGCACCTCAGTAACGTGCAGGTTTTCTTTAAGATTATGCCTGCTGTATCCCAGCTATCTGCTCTGATATGAAATAAATATTATATGATGCCTAATCACAACCCACTGATAACTACCAACCTCTGGGGTTGTTTTAACTGCTCGCTCTTTAAAGCGAAGATGTTGCCCGCGTGGTTGCATTTATCCACAATTCATACCCCACAGCGCTCTGCCCTCTCTGTGCCCCTCACCCTGGACTACCCTCCCATCTGCCTGTGAAACCTTTACGTCTCTCACAGTGGAGGAAGCTTCATCATACCACTGAAGTAAAATCCCACCCAACGCAAATGCAGCAGTTGCCGAGTTTCCAAAAAGTCAGTGTTCATGTTTAACCTGTCCATCCAGTTATTCGGGCTCCAGCCTGGAAAGTGGCAGTGCTGAAAAAACAAAGAAATGCCACTTCACATTCTCATTACCTGGAGTTATTCCCGACCTTCCTTTGGGTGATTAGGAAAGAAAAGCAGCACATGGCATGACCTCATGCAGATCTTATCACCCCTGAGGAATTTTTGAAAGAAATTTTCCTTCCACCGTTAAGGGGGATTAATCTTTTGATGTGAATGACCTTCTGGGCTCTCCTGAAGAGCTGCTGCCTTTGTGTCCCCAGCCCTCCCTCGAGGGGACAGCCCGGCACCCCAGCTTGTCCTGTAGCATAGCCCAAGCTGGCCCCATGTGAACGAGAGCCATCCATCGCCGCCAGGAAATGTCTCCTTTGCACTTTTCCGCCGGGAATGTTTCCTTTGCATCTTTCCACTGGCCTTTTTGTGCTCTGTCCCAGCACATCAGCACGTTACAGCTGGCACACGAGTCGTCCTGCCTGTATTCTTGCTTTATGCGGATTATCATACCTGAGACACTTAAAGCCCAGTGGCAGCCAGTCAAATAGCCAAATTTCCCAATGTATGCCATGGCTCAAATCCTAAGTAGTAGAGAGGTCTGCCTTCAGGCAAGTCCAACAACTAATTATTGTCTTCTCTTTGCAAAGAAGCTTTGCCTTGCCTTTGACTTTGCATTCCTGAGCGGTGACACACTTACTAGGTTAAAACCTTACAAGCACCTTCTCAGAAGCAGATTATTTGCTGTTTTATTTAAAAAAAAAAAAGTGACTTTTGGAAACAGATGTATTTTTTCCAGATGACCGTTCTTTCTGCCCCCCTCCCTGCGCCTTATTCCACTTGAGCCTTTGCTCCACTTGAGCCTGTGCGGGATTTGATGAGCTGTAACACCTGTATAATAGTGGCTTGGAGGTGAAACCCTTAGCAGTTTGTCAGACTGATCCTCTGAGCTCTGGCTTCTGACGGGTTCTGCCTTTCAGACCTCGCTGCTGTGCAAGTCGGCGATACATGCAGGCGTTATCACGGACGAGCTGGGCGGTCAGATCAGCGTCACCCAGCAGAAGGGCATCAGCCGCTACGAAGGTGTCGTCGCCAACGGCGTCTCTTCACACGAGTGAGTACCGCTGGCATGAGGGAGAACACACCCGCACATACTGCTGGCATGGGTGAGTACTCACTCGCACGAGTGAGTACCGCTGGTGTGAGTACGTATCGGTGGCCGGAGGTGGGGGCTGGCTCCAGGAGCAACCCCCGGGCACTGCACTGGCCAGATCTGCAGAAGCAGGTGGAAATGCTCTTCTGGGGGAAAAAGATGTTAGTTGTGGGTCCAGGGATTTTGGGTCTTTATTTCTGTGGCTTTATTAAAATGGTGTTGGCATCAGATTTAGGAAAATTTTCCAAGTTTTTAGTGGCTCTATACCATGTAGGGCGGTATTTTCTTCCTCTTTTTCTTCCAAAACATACTTGCAAATTGTGTCGTTAGCAGATACATGGAAGTACGATGTTCTGCAACAAACACCTTTAATCGATGTGCTAATAAATCATGATAAATTCATGTTAAAGTTTAAAAAAAGCTAGGAAGAATGAATAAATTAAGAATGCTGTTGAGCCATAGGGGATTTAATGAATAACTTCTTAAACATTGTGCTTTTGACATGTTCAGAGTTTTTCTCTTCTGTAATATTTATAGCAAGGGTGTTATATTTACCACTTATGTTCTGACTTTTAATTGTACTGTTGTTGGAGTAGAAATAAATCCTCTAATCTCTATCCAGCACAGTAAGCCCTTCCAGCAACTGCCTCTGTCATTCCTGGTGGTTTATAATTCTTAATTTTCAAATATTATCTGGATTCCACATGAGGCATTTTTTATTGTAGGAAAGGAAATCTCCTCAGTCCCATAGCCTATGAGAGCTAAGGGATCTTTTTTTACACTTTCTATGTCTTTTTTATACTTTTTTTCTGTTTTCTCCGTGATTTCTGCAATAATTCTGACAATTTTAGTCATGGTTTCATTCATGAAAAAAAGGCATTCATTTGCTCTGTTGCTGTGCTTAAACTTCAGCACAGATTGAAATGCTTTCTGTATAATGGCACTGGAGTATAAAAAGCTGGGTAGCATGTAGACCACTAGTGGAAGGTTTGTAAAGCCTAAATGTTTTCTATTTTTCTTACACATGCTGCTTGAAAGTTAATTGCCTAAGAAAATGAGCATAAACTTGTCTCCAGCAAAGCACGACTGAGAGCTCAGATCAGGCACCAAGCCCTTCCATAAAAAAAACAAATTCTTTCCATCAGACCCACCAGCTTAGTGAAATCTTAAATTAAATATTTTGTGCCTTAACTAAAGATGTTACAGAACCGTTTACATACATTGGTATGTTTGTGATCCTTGGGAATCCCAGGAGTAACTCAGTAGCGCATAAAATGTTATAATGAAAGGCAGCTGGGATTCCCATTTGTGGTTTTTTTCACAATACAAGAGCTAGTGGGCAAGGAATGAAGCGTAGAAGACAGCAGATGTACACGTGCCGGGGGAAAACACTGTGTGCAAAATTAACCCATCACCTTAACTGCCAGGCATCCTTTTAATGTTGCTGTTCACAAACTGTCCTATACATTTTATGTCAGTAACAGAAGTACCCACAGAGATGAAAACATGTCTCTATCAGGTGGGAAAACTCTCCTTTACTTGAAGAGCAGAAATGTGTGCTTCCAGGCTGAAGCCAGCCTCTGGGGCTCGGATTTAGCCCATTTGATGTGAGTGCCCTGAGAGAGCACCCTAACGAGGAGTGCAGCCCCCTTAGCTCTCCTGCATACCTGGGCAGACAGAGGCATTCCTTGAACATTCCTTGCTCACCTTAAAGGGACAAGGACATGACAGTCACTTTCTACAGGCTATACAGGGAGCCATAGGTAAATGGGCTCATACTGTATCAGATGCCCACAAACCAGATGGCACAGGTTTTGAGAAATATGAGAGTGTGAGCACAGTGCTTCCCAGGATGCTTCTGCTGCTTCTGGCAGCTGGGACAATCCCGGGAGCAGATGAACGGCTGGTGTGAACCTGTTATCCTGGGAGAGGGAAACCGGAGGGTGCAGGGAAATAATTTTATTTGAAAACACGAAAAAGTGTTCCTAGAAGCAGTATTTACTAAGAAAATGAACCAATCCATATCATGCTTTAACAAGGCTTTTGTAAGAGGTATTTCCAAAGCTGTATGATGTCCCTGTCCTCAGGATACCTACACGCTGCAAGAAATCCCTGCGGAGCAGTCAGTGCTGGCAGGAAAAAACCAGTGCTTAGCACAGTTTTAAGAGCTTTTTAGACTCCCTTAAACAAAAGCTTACTCAAGTTTTTAACATCTCATCATTTATAGTGGGTTTCAGTATTAAAGATGTAAATTATTTAGTGACTTGGGCAGAAACTCACCTCATCAAATGCTGCTGCTGGAGTGCATCGAGCTGCTAAATACCTGCGCTGTAACGTGTCGGGGGAGTTAGAGCTCACTCACTCACCACCCCGCAAGAGCTGACCTTGGCCTCCCTGACCCCATTTCTCAGCGTGCTTGTTATGCTCCAGCATCCATGAGGTTTTTTGGTTTTCAGGCACCATGTGTGGACCTGCACCTGCAAATGGTACAATGAAGATTAAGTGGCTGGATTTAGTGCGCAGTCCCGATACCCTAGTAATAGTATATGGGGGTTTAACTTGGCAACGTGGCCTGGTCTGTGATTGTACGTGGGTGCACGTGAAATCATTTGTCTTTGTAAATAAAAGAGAATGGTGAAAGATGAGATTTGGGGTTAACCTGCACTGCTTATATAAAGCTTGCTTGAGACCGACTGAAAAAAAAAAAAAAAGAGGATTTGATGCTAACAGAAATTTATTATGGGAAACAGCACCCGTTTTCCTGCGGCGCTACCAGCACAGGTCTCCCATGCAGTCCTGCCACCAGTGCCATCGGCTAGGCAGGATGCTGAAGGTTGTCAGGAAAATGAGGAGCACGGGGTGATACCATCCCTTAAAGGACGAAGCGAAATGTGTGTGATAAATGCCACCTGTCACATTAGGAAACTGATGAATTACCACTTACTGAATTAGTTTGTCCTCTTCAGTGCCTTGCAGAATTATAGCAGGAATATTTCAGCTTGATTTCATAGCTTTATAGAGCTTAGAAATGCTAACCTCCTCCCTTTCTTTGCTAAAATTGCAGACCTCTGCTTGAAAGGGATCTCGGTGACTTTTTTTATTACAAAGCGTTATCTCATAAGTAAGTATTGGAGGAGCGCTGCGATTTCTGTTTTGGGTAGGTTTTACTGATCATCACGGGGTTTTATTTTCTTCTTTCCTCTTGAAATGGATTGCTTTGTATTCACTAAGAAAGCCAAAATTGTTTTGGCTTTAATGTCAAACTGGTTTGCAGCAAGCAGAGCACATCTGATTGCCCCTGAGGATAGCCTCCGGCGGGGGGAAAAGATGTGAGAGGGAGAGCTTGGCTTTTTCCTTCCAGCTACTCTACCGCCTACACGCCCAAATAAATCAGCTCCCTCACAGTGCTCTCCGTCATCTCTGAAGGGCTTCGTTTGCCTGGAGTCATTTAGTTTTCCCTCAGTGACAAAAAGAAGCAGCGTTTTTATTGACCTTGACATGGGACCACTTTCCTATTCCCCGTTTGCAGCGCGCTCAAAACACACAGCCGTGCCCACCGCTGTTAGCCCACAGGGAAATTCTCACAGCCAGCAACAAAGGGCAGCCTGAAAGGGAGCTGTCTTGATGCTTAAGTGCAGAAGTTGTTTTACTGCTCAGTCATGCTGGCCAAGGCTTTTCAAAAGGGGGAAGTGATGCATGCAGATAATCGCAGCGACGTTGAAGGGGTTGGATTTCCAAGAAATCCAAACTAATTTCACGTTAAAACCTGGGCTTTTATTTTTATTAGGCAGCCGGAGTCATCCCTTCTGGAATGACACCTCAGGGGCATCTCATTGGGAACCAGAAAGTGGCTCCACGGGAGGCCAAGGGAAGCTCAGCTCTCCCTTACAGTGGTAATTTTATCTTGTCCTGCATTGTGCAGGGTTGTATGGAGCAGCCCAAGAAATGGCTTTTCTCCTGAAGCAAAGTAGTCCATGTCAAAAGGAGGAAAAAAAGGGGAGCCATAGAGGTCCTGTTAAGGGAGCAAAAAAACCCGTTCCTGATGGGAGCTGTTGGTCATGGTTATAGCAGAACTAGTTCCCACCCAGATGAAAATAAGGAGTAGTTTTCATTCAGTCTGGCTGTGATACACCTGCAGCCAAAGTAGGAATGGTCAGAGCTGATGTGGTTTAGTCACCATTAAGCATAGCTGTTTCACGGTGCTTAAGACTGGATTTTCTTCAAATTAGATGTGGACCTAGTCTAGTAGAAAGTCACTGATTTCGGTGAAGTTGCTCTAATTTAAGGTACTGCAGGTGCTGGAGAAGTGCACTGCTGGGAGCTCCAGGCCCTGTTAGCTTTCTAGTTCCTGGCTCTTTGGAATGCTCGTTGCTGGTCTGAGGAGTGGAAAGCTTTCCCACAGCGGTACAGGGCCTGCGCAGAGGAGAAAAGCAGAAGCGTGCCGCAAGAGTAACAGGCTGATGGGATGGGGAGTCACTTTAAAGCATAACAAATGCACAAACCCAGTAAAAAACGGGTCTGAATTTAGTCATGGTGAGAGATGCCTGAGAGTGCTGTTGCTGGGGTCAGTACCCAGCCAGCAAAGCAAGCGGCTCTCTGGCTAGAGATACTCCACTAGATAAACACTGATTCTGAAACTGTACCTCGTCGTTCCTGTGACTGGCTTCTGAAAGACTGAATTACCTTTTTCTTTTCTTACAGGGGTTCTCTGTCAGATAAGCGGTTTATATTTATTTCAAATGGTAAGAGTAATGGCTTTATTTTTAGCTATTCAAATTTTACCTTTTTATTTAAGTATTTTCTGTTAAAGTTTTGAAAAGTAATCGGGAGAATGTCAGGCTGTGTCTAGGAAAGATATTTTAGAACAGCAATTTTTAAAAATTGGCAAGTTGAATAAAAAAATAGAAGGGATGTGAAGTGAGCTAGAAAAAACCCCACAGAATAGGAATAGGTCATATGCACATGGACAGGAAACAGAAACACTACTGTGGTGTTACACTTCTGGTGCCAGCATATGAAAAATGGCAATCAGATAATCCCATTTTTATGTACTTTAGGCGGCAGAAAATGAAAGCAGTTTTTCTTCAGACATTTATAAATTCCATCTTCGTTACACAAGAAGAGAAAGAAAACAGAGAGGAATGAAAATATATTTACATTGTGCTGATAGAGAACGAGTTTTTGTTTATGACTTCCCAAGATGCAAAAGCGTCTTTAATCTGTCAAGCTGTTCATTTGCATAATACATAGCAAAGAGGGGGAAAAGTTCGCGCTCGTTCATTTGAATTAGATTTCAGTCATCTGAGATAAAATCATCTACTGTTCCATAGAAAACTATAGAGCTTGTATTGGCCTTTGAAACTGCCAGGGAATTATTTTTAACTTCACTGAAACAGGCCTTTTTTTCTCTGAAGAACCTTGATGTGCAGAAATTTTGCGGGTTCTTTGGTGGAGTTTGTAATACTTACCTGCAGCTATTATCTTCGTGATATCACCTCTTGGCAACAGTATCAAGGAGCTTCTCTAATGAGTAACTTTCCTAGCCCTAATTGCAGGTGAGAATCATGAAATATTTACAGTAAAGCCTTCCTTTCAGCTCAGTGCTTTCATCTGAGAAATGTTTTGTACAGCAAGATTAGCTAATGCCAATCTCGAAACATAAATATTATGTTTCAGAAGGAAAATTTAAAAATATAAGAAGTCTTCACATGAATGAGACTGAACTGCAGAGGTTAATGAACAAAATGGCAAGGAAAAAATAGCAGCTGTAGTCAGCAGGTGTCACGCACGTAGGAGCTAAACTGGTAAAGGAGGGTACTGGATCATCCACGACAAACTGACTGGCAAACACCACAGCTAATGGATAGCAACAGGCTAGCACTAGATTAAGCAGTGTCTGACTTCGCTGTTGTGGGTGGTCTTCATATGTTGCTAGCCTAATATAAATATATGCTGTGAAAACGCAAAATAACTCCTTCTGCCTGTCTGTGTGGGGACTCCTAGGCTGCAATAAATCTCTCAGTCTGGAAGAGGGATTCCTCTCCAGGAGCCAGGTTACTGCATCTTCCCACTGGGAGGAGACCAACGAATTTGGGCAACTGTTCCAGTGGTCTCCCGACAAGGCCTGGCTTCAAGTTCCGGGATTGGCTTGGGCCTCTAACCACAGCAGCAATCGCGAATGGCTGGAGATAGACTTGGGAGAGAAGAAGAGAATAACAGGTATGGCACCATCTGGTTATTAGAAGCTGGGCTTTGAGCTGGAGAAAAAACTAGGTGTTGTTGGAAAGCTAAAAAATGCACGTTTCTTTCATTAAATGTAGCAGAATGTTCTGCATTGAGAATTACTGTTGTTATATTTAAGAAATCATGGTTATTTATAAGATTAGTCTTCCTATAGGGATATAGGATTGGACTCAACTGTCATGCATGCCTGATCTGTAAAAATGCTGGAGGCTGAAAACAAAATATTTACACGGGGACCTGTGAAGTCTGGATGGATGATAAAGGATTGTTTAGGATCTATTAATGATGCAGTTCTGGAACCAGTAAGAAACATAAAGTTGTAGCCTTTGAAATAATGGCCCAGTTGAAAGAAACTCCTGTTTCATCTGTAAAAATGTAAATTACAGTTGCTGCTAAAGGTGTAAAGACTGCTGATATGGGCCATAAAATCAAAAAGCAATTACCACTTTTTGAGTCATTAATGTGGGCTCTGTTAAAAATTCTATTGCTCTAAACTCACAAATCAAAACTGATTTCCATTCTTCACCCAACTTTTAAACTCAATTCCAACATAGTTTGAAAAGTAAGTTAAGACTTTGAAGGCAAAGTTCTCCAAATTGTTTTGGCTTCCGTGTTTGCATTTGAAAATAACCCCTTCAAGCAGGCACCTAACAAAATGTATTTTGAATTTTGTTATAAGGGATTAAGACTGCTGGTTCTGGATCCACTACGCTGAATTTCAACTTTTACGTAAAGACATTTACAATGAACTACAAAAACAGCAACTCGAAATGGAGAACTTACAAGGGGATTCTGAGCAATGAGGAAAAGGTAAGGGAAAGCAGGAGGGGTAGGAGAACGCAGAGCAATAATGTGTATGCTGCCTTGACACTGAAGGGCAGGCTTTCACTGTCAAGGAAGATTAGGAGTTTCAGGCTTGTCTAGACTTGGGTTGGCTTCACCGGTGTAATTTACGGCCGTGGAGTAGATAGCAAGCTTGTCGAAACAAGGAAGTTATCCAGGGCTTGCTGGAGCTGTGAGACACGCAGGGAGGCATGTGTATGTGTGTGTCCTTTTAAAAAGAAAACATGGTGTAATTAAAGCTGTATAACAGGCTGTTTGGGCAAGTCTTGCCCACGCTAGGAACGCTGTACCAGTGCGAAAGTGTTGGCTGGTACAGCACCAGCAAAGCTGAGATTCAGCTTCAGATGCACTGGGGTGGTCAACCCACCCACCCCCAGTGAAACAACCCTGGTAAAACCTCAGCAAAACACCCAGGTAAGGGCACAGCGGTGAAGCTGTGCCTGCGGACCGAGCTCCTGCTCGGCTGTGTTATGGTCACCAGGGACGGGACTGCTCCCACACCTCGCTGCTGGGACTCCTCTGACACCAGTGGCTGTGGCCCACATCTGTCAGGAGTTGGTAACCGAACGTGAAATAAATGCTCTTACAGCAAAATACCTGTCCACACAACAGCTATCACAGACTCTGGGTGACTTTAACAACGAACAGATAAAAGCAATGCAACTGGTTCCCGCAGACAAAGGATGGGCTGCACAGGTTTGTCTGATAACATTTTCCACTGAAAACCTCATGTTTCCTTTCAAACAAACAAAAAAGCCCCCCTCCCTGCTCCTGCAACATTCAATGTCAGACCTTCACTTGTCGTTTCTGAGGGAGCTGCCCATGGCAGGGGGGTTGGAACTAGATGATCTTTAAGGTCCCTTCCAATCCAAATAATTCTATGATTCTGTGAAGGCTCTCCCTGGTCCTCCATCTTGACAGCAGTTTATGAAAACTTGGTAGAGCTGTAGAGACCTTTCATACTAGCTCTGATTTTCTTAGGTTGTGTGGAAAAGAATTTCACTGTGCAACATTAACCGGTTTAAGTTTTTTTAAATGTTAAACTTAAGAGATCTTGGCCCAAAAAGTGAAAAATCTACCTAGTAGTGGCTGAACTGTGAAGGGCAGCTATTTAAAATCTGCTCGTTTGTAGTTTTTCACAATAACTTGTTATTTACAAATAATCTTATGGAAGTATTATATATGATCTTAGTTTCAGCTAAGGTGGATGACAAAACCTGTCCCATCAGAACCCCACATGGCCATACATCTTATCTCAGATATGCTGAGCTCTCTTCCCTATCTCATCAGGCTTTTAAGTTCTAGATTGTGAAGCATGTCCCAGAACCAATTTTGCAAGGACTACTGTTCTGCATGTGGGCTCAACTGATTCTGGGAAACACTGTGTAAATGCAAGGAAAAGGAGACACAGTCATGTAGTTAACAGTCAGTCTTCAAGCTTGATACAGGAAAATGACTATTTTACTAAAATGTCCAGAAATACTTCACTTCAGTTTTTTCTTTTTACATTTTTATCCCCTTGTTGCCCAAGTAAGGGTGCTGCAGTGCTATTAAATAAAAAATTATAGCATTATACCAGCATATATTAACTAGAAATTAGAGAGAATTGAAACAGAGTGATAATCTTTATTCTCTGAGATCACAGCAAAATGTGATCATCTCTCAGAACTAAAGATTGTTTCTTTCCAGAGGTCTCAATTCCACAGATCTTGTGGCTGCATCCCAGGTTATCGGTATCTTTCAGTTTTCGGATAACGAAGGTGTTTGAAGTTGGATGTCAGGAGCGCTTTAAAGAAAGAACCTTTTCAAACAGAGCAAACAACATGCTTACGTTTCGTTGCAGGTATTCCAAGGCAACTCCAACTCTGGTGACGTAGTACGCAATAACTTCATCCCGCCCATAGTGGCCCGTTACGTGCGAATTATCCCCCAGACGTGGAACCAAAGAATAGCAGTGAAGCTCGAGCTGATGGGTTGTCGAATAATGCAAGGTATGGGGTAAGCGGCACTCCCCAGGCATGGTGCCTCCAAAGCACCCCCCCAGCCCGCACTGCCACTGATGCCCTCCTCTCTTTTGCAGCCAATAGTTCATTTACGCATTCAATGTGGCAGAAACCAAGTCAGAGCACGGAAACCTCCCTTGGAAAAGAAGACAGGACTGTTACGGAACCCATCCCATCAGAAGAAACTAACTTGGGTAACACTACCTAGTGCTGGGTTTTCTCTAGGATGCACCACGTCTTCGGCCCAGCCCGAAGAACTTTAAACTTTCCCACAAAGCAAAACTTCTGGTTTTCCTTCAGACTTTATTAAAGGTTAACAACAGAGAGAAGAGGGAGGAGCATAAGTTCTTTCTGTCTTAAGGCACAGAAAGAGATTGAAAGCCTTGATTTGCCTTGATGCGTGAAACATCAGGCTTTGGTTTCCCTGTCCTATTGGTTTATTTGCCATGCTTGGTAGGAGGCTCAAGGGACTATACTGAGCACTCCTCAGCATTTTTTGGAGAAGCAATTCCTCATCCTCTTCCCTTATTTTATAATCTTTGTAATACGTGGTCTCACAAAAATGTTACCGTCTCTCCAGGCAACCATGAGTCAACCCAGAGCAGGTCCCCAGCTTTAAGCAGCTACAGTAGTGCACAGTTGCATAATTAAACACTTTTCCATAATGCCTGTGTTTATGGGGCCTCAGACGACCTTCACATACGTCTCCCTGAATTCGCAGTCTTCATCCTTTCATGTTGTGGAGCTCAGTTCTTAGATCTTAAAAAGCAAAACAAACAATATTTGTTGCTTATTCTGACTGTTTGGTGGGCCCACAGCCAGGCAGGAATTACCAGACCCACTACACCAAACACTGCTACCCATCAGGTATCTGAAGGTTGTAGGAAAGTCTCTGCAAAAAAAACGGCTGTAAGAAGCAATCACTGTAAAAAGCTCTCCTGAAACTGCCTTGCTCTTGCCGAGAGCTCGGTTCATCTGGGCGGCAGTATGGGTAAATTGTATCCATGTTCACTGAAAACGGGATCTACTGAGATTTCACCCGTTAAATTGTAAATACCCTGTGGACACGTGCTCTACCGGATTCTCACAGCCTGGCAAGCGTCTGTAGGAATAGCGAATGGCGCGCTCCTGCCACAAGAGCTATCCCGCCACTGATTTCCAAATCCCCGCTCTAAACCATATTGTGTTAGAACTTTATAGGGACTAAACAGGTTTCTCCCCAGCTCTGCTCCCGGAAATCTTTGAACTATTTTGACTGAGATGTTTCAAGCAGTTCAGCGTGAGCCAGACTCTCGGCATGGAAAACTGCAGCCTCGTTTGGCAGTTTATAGCAACTGAAAATGGAGCGTGTGCAAGCGGCTTCTTTTAAAAAGTTACCTAGAGTGTGATAAGAAAAAACTGCTCTTTGTAAGGGTGCGTATAGATGTTGAGCCAAGTATCAGCCTTGAGCGAGTGCATTTAAGTCTCTTGTCCCAATGCTGTTCCACACGGGAATGCGGCGACCAAGTACAGCTGAGGAGCGGTCTTACAGTTTCATAATTTCACGTTTGTGCTCTCTGGCGAGAATCATTTCCACAACATTACCTGCCTTTTGCTGTATTCTCCGTAGTAAAAATCACCAGCTTCAGAGTAACTTGAATAAAAGTTTAAAAGGAAACTTTCATCTTTTTTTTTTTTCCTCTCACGCAGGTTTAAAGCTTACAGCTATAATTGTGCCCATCCTCATCGTGCTGTGTCTCTTCCTGTTCTCTGGAATCTGTATCTGTGCAGCCCTACGCAAGTAAGATACTGGCTTTTGGCATCGAGGCATTTGTGACTACCTAGGCAGCACATCCAACTATGTACCCTCTTTACCAGGGAACTGGAAATTGGTCCTGTTGAGCAGTCTTCCTTTTCTTACCCTACGTCTCCCCTAGCTGGACAAAAAAGCAGAGCAGAACGACACGCCCCAGTTTACAGAGCAGTGTCACTGGCTGGTCTCTTCAGCCTGCATATACCCACAAGTACTAAGGTGTAAAGCAATCGCAGGTGGAATAGTTTCCACAACAAAGCCAAATAAAAATTCAGTGAAGGGAGGATTTGAGCTATCTGTCTGGATCGCTTCCTTTCCTTTCCCTCCTGTTAGGTTTCTGCTTCCCGGTCCCTTAAGTTAGAGCACTTAACCTCGCGGGCTGAAAGCAGAGCCCAGCTGTAAGGAGCTGTACACACACACTGATAAGCCACCATGTTTCATCAGTCAGGGGGCTGGAAGAAGCACTGCGATCCGTGGTTCCTGCCAGACGTCCATTCCTATGAACCTGCACTTGCACGCAGAGCGGGGAAATGCTTCTGACAGCAGATGGGGATTTGGAAGTACAAACAACGCTCTGGTGATGTTGCTTCATCCCTAGTAGTACCCAGCTCTGCCTCAGATTTCCAGTAGATATCTACACTATCCAAAAAATTCGGAAGCGCAGACCCA